ATTTTACTGCTGTAAAATCCAAATTTTGTCTTATTTAAAATATAAATCTAATATAATCTGCTTTTTTTTAATAAATTATAATTATAATAATGCATAATTATGTGGACATGCATATTAGATCGTTTTTTAGTGAAATATAATCCCTCCAGAAAGGCAGGAAAAGCCCTGTAACTTAATTTAAAACTAAATATGCTCTAAATACTTTAAAACGAAATATGTTCCCTAAAACGGTGGACAGAGCTACAGACCCATGACAGCCTTATGTTACACGCTGAAAAGGGGCTGAAAAGGGGATAAGTCAATGACGACGCTCAGACACGATGCTTCTCTTTCAGCAGCGTCATTGCGAATGAAGCATCGTGGCCAGAGCTCCCCCTTCCGGCAACGGCAGGCATAACTAATCAATCATGATCACTAAATCACATGGATTATTCCCCAGGCTCGACAAGTGGATCACAGATTGCATTTTACACAGGTTGTAGTCGCATTAAGGATTATTATCCGGTTGAACATAGTCATGAACTCTTTTAACTATTTTAGCCTGTGTTACATTACATCTCTTTGATGGGACTTCTTTTACCCTTGTTTATACATTTACATATTTGAAATAAATTGAATAATATATTGGGTAACTTTTAACCACAACTTTTTACTCCATTATGAACTTCAACAAATAATCAATCTATCACACTTACACAGGTAGCCAGCAGCAACACGTTCTACTTGTGCGGTTAATAAAAGGACAGGTGTGTTCGTCGCGCTGTTGCACACACAGCACGCTCGTTTGTTTCAGTTCGTCAGTTGCCACAAGACAGCTTACCAACGTGTAAATAATAAGCCAATACTCCTGGGTGCTATAGACCAGCGGTCCCCAACCTTTTTTGCGCCACGGACCGGTTTATGCCCGACAATATTGTCACGGACCGGCCTTTAAGGTGTCGCGGATAAATACAACAAAATAAAACTAGTACCGGTAACGAAAAAAAGAAGATTTATTCATAACACCCGTGAAAAGACCCAGGAAAACCGAGTAAACGATAAAAACGATAACAAAATAACGCTGAAAACCGATTAAAAAAAAAAACCCTGAAAACTATACATTTCACACCTGAGCCTCAACTCTCGCGGCCCGGTACCAAACGACTCACGGACCGGTACCGTCCTGAGGCCCGGGAGTTGGGGACCGCTGCTATAGACTACAGTGTACGCTGTACACCGACTTACTGGTTTTGTCGCATCAGTCTGTGTCTCTGAGTTAACTTGTGTTTCTGCTACAGCTCCGGACCGCTAAAAATGCGCGTGCTCTTTGTGAGCTCGTTCCCGGCTCGTAACCAGCGCGTTCTGCCGTCAAGGGCGATCATTGGTTAAATGTGATGATGTGACTGCATGCAAGCCAGATCCTTTTATTTAGCAAAACTGTGATTAATAGTTAAATATTAATGTTGAGGGTCACAGACAGGACTCCGCACGCACACACACATAAAAATAATAATAATTTGTTTTTAAAGTTGCCTCAATAAAAGGGCACTTTGGGCACCCATCAGGAAAGGGGCGGGTGCTCAAGCCCCTCTAGCCCCCCCCTCTGCATGTACCTGCTGAGCAGCAAAGCAGAGCCTCCCAGCTGAAATAGCTTTAAGCAGACCATTCCTCTCTGAACCTGTGGAGCTTTCACAACAAATAACCTGAATTCAGGTTGATGAACAGTCTCTCAGGTCGCTCGATCTGCTGTTTATAAAAGAAATGCTTCCTGTGGCTCTGTTTGTAGGTTCTGCTGGTGTCCACAAGATGGCGAGCTTGGAGCAGCAGAAAGATGACACTGTCATGGTCCTGAGTCTGATGACTCAGTACTTTGTGTTTCTTTATAATATTCTGTGTTTTTGTTTATTCTGTTATGTCTTTGGGTTCGGTTTGCCATTCGTTAGGGTTTTGTTTTGCGCCTGCCTGCTCCCACTTCTCTGCGTTCCCTCCGTCTGTCCATGGTGTCACTGTGTCTGCTTGTGAGTCTGTCTGTTCAGTTCAGTGTCTTGTCTGGTTCTCAGTGTCTGTTAGTTTCCCGTTTTATTCTGAAGGTCCTTGTTTTATGTGAGTGTGTTCAGTTTACGTTTCCCCTGCCTCGTCAGTTGGGATTTCACCCAGGTGTGCTTCCCTCCTGTCTCCCATCCCCTGATTATTGCTGTGTGTATTTAAGCCCTGTGTGTTCTCCTGCCTGTTGCTGGTTTGTCTGTGTTATTTGGTGTTTTTGTGTCTGTGAATCTCCCGCCGGCATCCTGTGAATTCTCCCTGCAAGTTGCTGTCTCTCGTGTTCAGGTTTGTTGTTTAGGTTTTAGTTTTCCCAGTGTAGTTTATTTTTAAGTTCGGTTTTTCGCCTCACTCGGGTTCTGTGTCAATAAAGCCCTCTCACTTCACTGCATCTTGGGTCCTTTGTTAAATTCACATGGCTTGCCCCGGCAATCCGTGACAGACACGAAACACTTCTGTGGCTTTTTATACAATATTTTTACTGAGAAAGAGACATTATTTTAAAAAACAACATGTAAATCACATGTAAATGGTTTGGATACAAATAGATAATCTATAACATACACCACCAACAACCATATGAGGGTCCTTATCATGCTGGTTAAGAATGTTAAGCACTTTGTTAGAGGAAATAAGTGTCTTGATGGATGGCATATGTGCTACTGAAATAATTTTATTTCTAGTTTTCTCTGTGCACTGCTCCATGACTCTGAGAGGAAAATAAATGTGACTGTGGTCAAAAGAGCTTGCAAAGAAAAGCGTCTGGACTTCTTTAAGTTACTTGAAGACGTTTCACCTCTCATCCGAGAAGCTTCGTCAGTGAACTGAAGAAGCTTCTTGGATGAGAGGTGAAGTCCAGACGCTTTTCTTTGCAAGCTCCTTTGACTACGATGACCTGGATGACTGAGAACCTTCACAGACAAATGTGACTGTGGACATCAGCGTGTAAAGTGAGGGATTTTACCTGAAAAGATACACTATGAGAGATTGGGTGCTCCTCCCCCCCCATTTCTCTCTTCGCTTTTCTTCTGTTCTGTTTTTATTAATTATTCTGCAAAGTCATCGGTATGTATCTTTTTTTCTTTTTTTTTTTTACACTCTCACCATCTGATCTTTTTCTGTTTATCTCTGAGTCTTTGTTGTGAAAGAAATTATGTGTATTTGTTTTCATTATACCAAGGGTGGACTGAGACAGAACAAAGTCCCTGGGATTTTTGGTCCAGGCAGCCCATCATGATCAGTTAAAAAGCAGCCTCCTGGCGCTGCCACGTTCATTACCAGCTGTTGCTGGTACTGACGTTGATGGTGCAGCAGAACCCACCAGGACAGCTGATATGTATTTGATTTAACACATTTTGTTTCATTTTTTTCCTCTTAGATTTTCAGACCCCTGTTTTTCTTTTGTTTATCCGCTTGTGTCAATCACTTCTTCCACACTAAGCTATTTCTGATTGGGTAATCCAGATTAGGAATGAAAATGAAGGAATGGGCTGCTGTAAGTGTTTGTAGGGCCTACGTGCAGCACCCCTTCAAGTCAGACTGCAGTCTTTATAATTATATTGAACAAGAAAAACAAATTATACTGGGTCATCAGCTCAGAAGGGCATCATTTCGCTGGGCAAATGCCCGGGATGCCAGATTACCAGTCCAGCCCTCCTACCAAGGGTAAATGAATTAAGCTTGGTGTGCAAACTATTCCCAGTTTAGTTACAGAAAGTAACAAACCAAAGTGAAAGCAAACAACTGTCTGTGTCCTGCCTGAACCTGCTGCTTCCACTTTCTTAAAGTCTACTTGTCAATTAAGTATTGAAAAGTAAAATAAAAACTGAAAATGACATGACTGTTTACTCATTACATCTTTACTCTCATTGGTCATTACAGAGTCTCTCTACTCTGTCCTGACTGAAACATGCAGACCAGAATAAATACAGTTATCACAAAAGTACAAAAAATAAAAATAGCTGACTCCCTGCATTGATAAAACAGTTGTCATCTTTGTTTTGTCTTAATAAGAAAATAACTGTTTTTTTCCTTTTTTGTTTTTCTCTTGTAAACTGTGTTAATTAATGCCTGTAATCACCTTCGTGAGGTAATAGTTTAGAAATCAAGAATAAAAAAAAACAACTGAATAATCATCATTACACAAGCATCAGATGTAAAACTGGAAAAATTAAAGGAGTGAGACACAGCTGGGAAACAAACAAGACAACGAGGCACGGAAACAAATGTAAATACAAGGCAAAGAGACAAATGACTATCAAAATAAAACAGGAAGTAACTACACAGAGGATCACGTACCCAAGATGAAAACACGACGAAATGATACAAAAGGACACAGGTGAGGCTGTACTGAACCGAACCACAAATCAGTAAAAATAAAGATATACTCAAAATGTAAACAGAACACGCTGGCTGCGCTTTGTCTCCATATAAACTGTCCTCTTAATCATCAAAGATAAAAAGAAAAAATCTGACCTAACATCAAAGCTCATTTGATCTAATGTTGGTGTGTCCTTCACTGCTGACTCCATGAACAGTATCACACTCCACCCAATATTTTCACAAGCAGTAAAAACTACGATTCTCTGACGATGACAACTGCTTCAGATCTGCTCTGTGCACAATGTTGTTGGACTTCCTCAGTCCAATACTCCAAACCAGTAAAGTCAAAAAAGTCTTAATATTCACAAGACTGTGGTCACCTCACTTCATGTGGAACATACACAGTTCAGTTTATTCTGGGAGCTGTAGCAGAAAGAAAGCAGCATGAAGCTTCTTAGCTGCTCTTTACTCATGTTGGATTTCAGGGAGCTCCTCAGTCTTTTACACACATTGGTACTTATTTTTACCTCCAATACACTCAGCCCAGGAGTATGCATGAAATAGAGTGACCGCACACCATCTACGTATTCACTGGAAAACTAGCTTCTCTGTTCTCACATAGAGAGCTGTGTACAGTCTGTGTGAAAGCAGATATTTAATGTCTGAGGGTTGATAATTTCTTCACCAGGTCGTTCCTACATATCATCTTTAAGATGTTCTCCATCACCTGCACAGCTCCAGTGATCTCATATGTCTGCACCATCAGATCTACTGTGTCATTTCTGTCTGCTTTGGACAAATAGTTTTCTTTGATGGGTGATATGTTGTTCCACACTTCAGTCTTCAGGTGCCACTTAAACTTCTTGAATTCTTCATCGTTTAAATCTTCGAGGATATCGGGAAGCATCACTATGATTTTCTGTTAAAATCAGAGCATACTGTCAGTCTGTAGATGAGGCTTTGCAGGTCATAATGAAAGGAAGTTGAAACCATAATGGTGTACACAGTGAATAGAAGATAGCCTTACAGAGAGCAGAGATAAGAAGTATAGTTCTTTAGTTCCTCACTTGATCCATATCCTTATTGATAACAGCACACTCATTGAGTCTATACAGAAGTTAGCTAGAACAGATTCAGACACTGACAATAAACTTTGTCCAAACTGAGATCAGCCTCACCTCTGCTGGGATTCTCCCATCTGCAGAGAAAGGTAGATGATCTGCAAGGAGCCAGGGATAAGAATTATAACACGCAAGCATTTAAAAGAATTGACGAATCTTGAAATTAAACGCAATGTTTTTGTATTGCAAGTCCAAAATATTTACTGTAAATCACATGTCCTGTGTTTTTTTTCGAAAAAGGGTAAGTGACACATTTGGGAAAAAGAAAATAAAAATCTCCTACAAACAGCTTGTATTAAAAACCTCTATGGACATGAATGTGGCCAGAGGCAGCAGGTGAATGGCCTCCTGAAAATGTCTGACAGCCCTTGAGTCAAACAAAAAAAAGTTTCTATTAAAGGCATTTTAATGTTCCATGTTAACCCACTCAGATGTTTGGACAAGGTGCTGCCAGTCCTGCCATAGAACTGCTAAGTCTTGCTTTCCAATCTAAGGAACACTTAACTTCATGGCTTGTCTCTATTTTTTCTAATTTGTGCCTCCTTGTCTCCTCCTGCCTGTGAATCTCAGTTCATCATGCTCAAGGATGTCTAACTTCCTAAACTGCACCTGGACAAGAGAAGAGACTTGAAGGATGAACACATCTAATTGATCCTTTTACCTGTGGATATAGCCTAAAACTACAGCATAACTTTTGCCTTGTGTGTTGAGATTCGTGATCAGCAAAAGTGTGTTTAAACATTACTTGCAGACTTCCACATCTCTGGAATCAGCTTGTCAGGAAAACTCAGATTCGGCTCAGTGCTTCAATATGTTCACCACCTTCTCACTAACTGCTCTGCAGTTTTAATCATACATTTTTTTATGTGTTTGACCACAAATTGTTTAATAGATAGTCACCCTGTTAAATTACAGCTGGCAGTTTTTCTTCTTCTTCTACATTGTATTGTTCTTTTTTTCCCCCAGTGTTGATATTATATATTGTTTTGTTTGTAGGTTAATTGCAGGAATTTCTTAAAGATAGAAATACCTGCAGAGAGTGGTCTCCTCTCTACAGGAGCTCACTCTGCAGGTGGGGGAGAGATATAGGAGAGGTAGAGAATGAACTCAACCTGGGTGTCTATTGTCTTGTGTAGTTTGGGAGATGATTGGATGATGGGGTGGGTGCAGTTTTCTCTGGGGTGGAGTCGGGTGGGCTGCCCTGGACTGTGTGGGGCTGGGCGGTGCTGCTGCTGCGGGCCCCGGTCCGGATGGGCCTTCCCTTTCTTCCCTCCCCATCCTCAGCTGCCTCCCTATTCCCGCTCTACCACACCCACCCACACACGCAGGACTTGGGGTGCAGGTATCTCACCAGGGTGCAGGGGAGGCACTGCCCCTCTGTCCCCTTCTGGCCGCCTGTGCCTCAATTTTATTCTGCAACCTAGACATCCACATTACTCACTCTCTCACATAACACATACATATAGGGCCTTGGGGGTGGGCACGTTTTACAGCATCCAGAGGATGGTCGGTGTACTCCAACCCACCTCTGGCGCTGGTGCCCTACCCTCAATTTTAAATGCATTTAGACACTAAGGGTTTTCGGGAGGAGCCGTGCTGCTCTATGAGAGGAAGCAGGAACCATGCTCTCCTGTGTTTTAAATGCACTTTAGAACAGCACACAGCAACACTACATATGAGCGGGCGTAGGGAGGTTTGGGGTCTTCACTCACCCCGGTTCTGTTAGCCGTCAGGGCCGGGGGGTTGGGAGGAGGTGCTGGCCGTCAGATTGGGGTCTGGGATGCGGGGCCTCCCTGCTGCAGATAAGGAGGTGGTCCGCTTGCCTCCACCCATCTCCTGGGTTTAGGTGTGGCTTGCCCCTCTGGGGCGGGGGTACCTGGACCTGGGATGTAGAGTACGTTTGGGGAGTGCGACTGTCTGTGCAGTGTCTATTTGTGTCTGTCTACACGTTGGGTGAATGACGAGTATTTGGTTGTGTATATGGGGTGGGAATGCACGTTTGTGTCCGCGTGTGCCTGTTCATCTGTGTCTATATGTCAGGTTGGGTCTTAGACTCAACCTCTCTGGGTACATCTCAGGCCCTCCAAAGTACGGAGGCCTATCTCCCCTCACCACACTCCCTGCCGGTGGCTGATGCCCTCAGACGTTGGTGTGTTGGTGGTTCTTGTCGACTGGGGCTGGGCGCTCATCAATAGCGTGTCCAGCGGGGTGGCCTGGGGGGGCACAGGCCACCCCCCCAACCAGACTGGCCACCCCAGGTGCCACCCCAAAGGTAAAACAATAAAATTCAATCAAATGTACGATTATGTTTTCACGGTGAAGCTCAGATATCCGAGTGTAAGTGAATGCAGCATCGGCTTCTGCGCTATGTGCATCACGTTAGCAAAGGTAGGAGAGCCAAGCACGAAAGATGGCACTGCAGGAAACAATTTTTCGGTGAAAGAAAATGAGGACCGAATAAATGTTCCGGCAAGTAATATTAAGTTTGTTGAGTTTAGTAAACTTCGGTGAAATTAGAATCCCAAGGAGAAAATAACACTTAAAGAATTATTGCAGCCCTCGAATATTTCAGACAGTATGCTACTGAGGGCAGCTAACATAAGAGTTATGAGTTATAAGATATAATCTAAGTCGTAACATTGCTGTATGGAGCTGCAGATTTGGTTGCAGGTTAACATAGCTGGACTGGCTATCGGGCATACCGGGCATATGCCTGGTGACTTATTTTTTTTAAATTTTTTTTGTAATGGCATGAACAATGACAGGTGGTGGATTGGCCAGATGCTGGCAGATGTGTAAAAATAACTCAGTTGTTTGGTGGTGGCTATGGCGGGGCTTCCACAGAGGCCAGCAGGTGGATGAGGGAAGGGGAGGCAGGAGGAGAGCCCCGAGGAGGCCACCAGTCCGAGTGTCAGGTGAACTGAGCTTCAGGTAAGAAGTTATGACCTGCAGTCTATCTGGGTCAGATATAAACCAAGTTTAGGTGGAGTTTATTTTCATTGTGCTGACTTTTTACTGTCAGTTGCAATAACTCATACTGCGTTCTAGCCAGCTTGATGGAGTTTTTAGGTGGGTGATGTTACTGATAGTGAACTTTATTTTATTCATACGTTTAGTTAGTAGAGTTGCCAACGGCTCCTTAAAAAAATGGAATGGTCCCTCATTCAGAGAAATAATTACACGTTTCGTATTGAGCTGAGAAGAGACGCAGTTTGTCCTGAACTTTAGCTAGAATGGAAAAAAGACACAAAGCTGGATTTATTCTGTCTTTATGCTGCACAGCTGCCTCTTCTTCTCTCATTCTCTCCCCCTCCCTCTCTTGTTTCTACTTCAATCATGAAACTGATCAATGATCAGCTGATCGGCTCTCTTGTTTATCGCCCACTTTGCGCCAGAAAGAGGAAACCAGCAGATGTCGCGCTAAACAACAGCAGCACGTTTAAGCTTGATCGGCTGTTGTCAGAATTTATTTAATATTAATTTCTAGTATCAGCTGATGTTTGCTGGACCCACAGCTGTAAAGCTGCTAGTCATGATGTCAGTTTGGATATGTGGTGAGAGGGAAACATGAAGATGAAACCTTACTGAATCATCAGAGCTGAACAGGTGATGGAGAAACAGGTTTACCTTTTAGGTGAAATGAATGAGTTGAAGGGAAGTTATGAACTGTTTCTGAGAGACAAATAACACCAGGATCCTTTTCTATGCAGCTGACAGCTGGTAACTGTGCAGGGGCGGGTCTAGCGAAGTTTTTGCCAGGGGGCCAGGTAGGGCATTAACAGGGAAAGGTGGGCAAAAAGAAATACTTTTCTTTCTTATTCTCATTTAAAATATCTAGCTTTTATTAAATAATTATCTAAATCTTACAACCAAAGTTTTTATCTGACGTAAAATGTATAGAAATCATACATATACCAACAAGACTGT